GTGCGATGAATATGGGAACATCGGTGGAGGAGGCGGCTAGAGCGAGTTTTCTCGCAGATCAAGTCTTTTTTGTTTTTCGAAAGTCAACGAGAGGAGATACAGATGCAGAATGGGCTCGAGTACGAATCATGCTGGCTTCGGAAACCATCTCTTCATCTTGACTGCTGTTCTCCATTCTCCTTTCTTGTCGAAGTTCTTCCAATTCATTTTTAAATTTGTGAACAGAACTGTAGCTAATTCTGAAGTGAGCCATTACTCGAGCGCTTGTGTTTGTCAGAGGTATCTTCAAATAATCTCTCTCAGATTCGACGGAGTCGATCACTCGAAACATGAGTTTCTTTTGTTCGACAGAGAATTCTTCTCCTTTAGGCACATTAATACGAAAATTTTCAAATGTTGGAGAAAATAATAATTCTAGAAAATCATGTGAAGTTGATTCTTTTAGAAATATTATTGGCTCGAGTGGGTAATAACCAATTATAATTGTATCCGATATATTCACATGCTATACTGTAGAAAATCAGTGACTATATATAGGTTTTAGAATATCACAGCGTGTTAGAGGAAAAGGTCTGAGGGAAAAGAGAGAGTACATATAATAGAATAGAAGAATACTTTATGTCACGGAAGAATACACATGAAGTAAAGAATGCAAGCGGCAATAAAACGATATATATATAAATAGAAGAATGCCTAATATCATAGAATAGTGCATGTAACGTAATGAAAGTACATGATACCATAGAAGAATAAGGAAATCACAACATATAGGGGAACGCACAAAAGTGATAGATGACATCAGCTGATTCTAATACTTCTGAACAATATTTCTATCACATAATCCAGCTTCAATAAATACCATGGTAAAGAACTTTACTGAAAAATAACCAATGATGTGTTACAGTAGGACAAATGGGCTATCTGAATCGATATCATTTTGAGGAATGAAGTAGCTAAGAATATTTCTAACAAAACTCTCGGGCTTAAAAAGTTTGTAATAATCATCTGAAATGCTTGCTGAATGAAATATTTCAAGCTTCTGAGGACAAATTAAGGCTTTTTGGGAGTTTCACGAGAGATGCTGGCATTTTCTAACAGAACATCGTAGAAGGGCGTAGTGTTTTTAGTGAAGACAACTGTCTAGCTTACTGTTTGCAATAATTAGGGGCCGAAATCCATTTCTTTAACACCCTCAGTGTTCGATTTTTTTTCGAAAAATGCTCTCAAAATTCATGAAGACATGTTAGAAAATTTTTGTTCCTAGCGCACAATTTACTTGTCGCATGTAAGGCTATCAAACAAAAAAAGCCGCAGTTCTCTGACTCTTATCGTTATGGAGATATTCAATCAACACTGAACGTAGCTTTTAATTTGAAAGGGATATTAGAAAGAATAATAATTAATTACTATCCAAGTAATAATTTATAGAATTCTATTGATTTCCTATTAGATTTGACTGCTAAAAGTTATAATCTCTGAAGCCTGTTTCGTTAAAAAAATTTCGGAATTCATTTGTTGCTCATAATTATATATCGCTTTGTGTTTGGCGAAGACCACGCTCGGTGGAAACATAAAAAATAAATATGAATAAGAACAATTATTAATATTGCACACAGACAGAACAGAATTCATGATGCGACAAGCTCCTTTTATTTATGGAATTGAATATGTACACTTAGGTGTACAGTACATAGCTGATTGGCTATGTGGACCTGAGTGCATATAATCACTTCCTTTATTTAGATTATTCATGTAGTGAGAGAAAAATTACTTTCTTTGTATACGTAAACATACATTGTACAAAAAATAAGAGTAAAATAATAAATCCTTATTACCACAGATGAAAAATTTCATAAACTTTTGAGAGCTTTTCAAAAGCATCGTAAATATTGGAAAGGATTATTATATGTTGCATTTTCAGAGATTTTTCAAGGGTTTTATTATTCTAGTCTTGTTTTCTATGGTACAGATTATGTTTAGAAAAATAGTCGCTTCCATTCAATTATATGTACGTCACATACTCGATTAGTGAATGTGTGGTGTTATTGAAGCATATACTGAGACGCATGCACCATCATCAGCATAGAAATCAAAAAACAAGTTTGCGTCCCATTAATGATGAAGAATGTTATGAACCAAGCAGATGAGCATTTGTAATAACACATTTAAATACTCAGTTGAGAACGACGATTGTAAGTCATTAACGCTCAAAACCGGAGGTTTCGCCCGTTTTCACACTCTGAATGTGAAAATCTTGTAGGAAAAACGCTTTTCTTGAATGATTATAATAAGCATTAATGACACAAAATGTCAGCTCCTGGTTGAGAACTTAAATGTATTACTTCGAATTTCCGTATGCTTGGGTATTGAATTCCAACACCTGCCATTGCTTCGAACGAATTTGAATACATTGATGCATAATCAAGTGTGTGCGTTGAAAAGGTATTCGTAGGCGTTAGAGTAGCCGCCGAACGTATAAAAACTAGAGTCGCTGTAATTACTTGCATTTACAACATTGTAAGCAGTATGAAGAACATGTGGATAGTACTAGTTACTCTGATGTAAGTTACTCATGTCTAATGACTAAAATTATTATAAAATTATATTCTATACTTGTCTATACACGTTTTCAGCATATTAGGTGAGAACATTCATTGATTGTATTATAAACACTCTATTCTGACTATTTAAACAGGACAAATATTCGATAGTTTGCAATGTCAACCTTCGACTTGTGGCACTCGCGCAGTGCCTTGTTCAACTAACTCCGACTGTGAATGTCTGGCACTTACTTCAGGCTCTGGTGGCATGTGTGCCGTTGCCTTGCTCTCTTGTTCCAGTTTGACACCATGCTCCAGTGATAATATAACATGCACAGTGCCTTGCACTGTTTGCGTTATCAGCACTCACTGTAATAAACCAATGTGTTATCCACAAGCGCTCGCTGTTCCAGGAGTGTGTCCACCGCTCAACACAAATGCGACAACACATACGACTACTATAGCTACAGGTTTTGACAATGAAATCAAACTAATTATTCGATAGTAGTTTTAAATGTCATATGATGTCTTATAAGAGTGCCCGCAAAAACTCAATTAAGTCTCAACAGAGCATATATAGGAGATATTAGCGTGCAGCTGATGCAAAAGACGAAAACAGTTCATCACTCTAAGCGTAAGTGCCACAAAAGGCTGACAATGGTCATGCCTACAATATCTCCAATATCTTTATACCCCTAGTATCTGACAGCTCTCTATGTCTCTCATATCTCCTATATATCTGAATAAGATGATTCTTAGTTGAGCTTCTGCAGAAACTCTGAAAAGATATCGAATTTTAAGTATTATATTTAGTATTTGCACACTTACTCATGAGTCTATGGGATAGAACTAAGATAAGTATTTCTGAAAAAGGTCACTTAACATGGGAGGAAAACATTACTCAATTGTATTACTGTAATCAACGTTTATGAGAGAACATCTCCGACATCCAGACACCGTTCGATTTCATATTTTTTCTACAAATAGGCACACATGAGACTAAAAAAAGCCTTAAGGGGTTCACATCGTGTTTTTTACAACGACATCAAGTCAACTTATACGTGTGTCAAAAAGTCATTTTTTTCACTTTTGGTCGAATCCCGTTCATATTTATTTTAAGTTTTTCAGACCTGATAATTTCACTAGAGATTTTTCATTTTATCTACATTAGCTGCCAAACAATCTAACTCAAAATTTTCTTTGAATTTCAAGATATAGATCTGAACAACATTTCTTTGTTCGTTGTGCTTTAATGGCGTAAGCTTGACATATCTATATCTCGGAATTTAGAAAACTTTTAAAGCTAAATCTTTGGAAGTTTGTACTGACAAATGAAGAATCTGTGCTAATAGTTTCAGACCTAAAGACCGCAAAATAAGTTAGAAGAGAATTCGGCAAAATTTGAAAAAGATGACTTTATTGACATAGGAATCGATCAGCTCTCGATCTAAACAGCACACAGATAGAATTCATTTTGGCTTTTCTTAGTCCTATAGAGGCCTATTACTAGCCAAACGATGGATTGAAACGACGTTCGGAAGTTTGAAATGTTCTCTCGTTAGTTATATAAAAGTATTCAAGCATTATAGCAGTTGTTTTACGAAAAAAAGTGATCTACCGAGCAGCTGAATCTTGGAATTTTCTATTGAAGAACATATTGAGATTCTTATGAGACGGTCCACGAGAATATCGAACATGGTCATACTCTCGAAAAATTTGACCCCTATATTTTATGATTGAAAACGAAAGAGCAAAGTGAGAAACCTATAAATCCAAAATTTGAGCTAATTCTGGCTTACCAATAAAAAGTTATGAAGTACAAACTGAAAGCACCCTCAACAGGTTTCGAAAAAAAAAAAGTTTTTTTTCGAAAAATTTGGTAAGTCAGTATTTGGTCCTTTTTTCCACAGTAAATTCTCACAATCGTTTCGAGTAATATACCATATGATAGAGCAAATTTTGCTCTACAAAACTGCATCTGGCATCATCTCCTCACTATCCATTTTATAGGTACACTAATCGCGAAACTAGATCAACCCTACTGCTTTTTTCGAATTTTTGAGTTGTTCTCTTTTCCATTGCAAGCTATGTTTCTATGCTAATTCTAATGATCCCAGAAATTTTTTTATGATTTTCGATAGAGCAAAGAAAGAACTATCAAATGAGTATTAAATGATTGAAATCAAAGTAGCCCCTGGTGTCCATCCAGGTCGCAAAAGATACTCGACTACTACTTTGAAAACCATTTTTTTCATTATTTTTTTGCACCATTTATGTATATGTTAGCTCTGACTTTTCTTCCAGCTAGGAATAGAGTTGAAATTTATTTTTCACCATTGAAAAACTCATAAGATAGGTTATTCAGACATTTTGAAAGTCACTTATATCATATAGGTTAGTGCTCCTTTTTTTCGGAATATGTGCAGTATAGTAGATACTTCATATTCAATTCATAGCTTGCTAAAGTAAATGAATGGCGTTTATAAGACGTTCTNCACCAGCACCAGCACCAGCACCAGCACCAGCACCAGCACCAGCACCAGCACCAGCACCAGCACCAGCACCAGCACCAGCACCAGCACCAGCACCAGCACCAGCACCAGCACCAGCACCAGCACCAGCACCAGCACCAGCACCAGCACCAGCACCAGCACCAGCACCAGCACCAGCACCAGCACCAGCACCAGCACCAGCACCAGCACCAGCACCAGCACCAGCACCACCAGTACCAGCGCGATGACCAGCACCAGCAGCATTAGTACTGCAGGTAAAATTCTTTCATATCACTGTATATCCTGGTCCTCCAGCTTTTTTTCCACTAACAGTTCCGTGATGATTGCTAATACTCTTATGTACTTCTTCCTCGTATTCCATTACTGATATCTCCCTTATTCTCATAGCTTAAGTACGCTTATTAGCGAAGCGTGTTGCGGCAACAGGTGCCAATTTCATTCGCCTACTCGCTGATCAACAGTACTTATGAGGATGTAAAGGTGTGAAGGCATGATGTAAGATGAGGTGCGTGTAAATCGAGTATGATGTATGCAGTTTATTTCGTCCTCACTCGCACCCACATTGCTGATTCTCGATATTTATTAGCAGAGAGTATCACCTTGGTCGGAAATCCATAGAGTACCAGTAGTAGTTGAGCTCTTTGCCGAATCTTGAGCCGATTATAGTTCACAAGGAAGTGAAATGGCAGCTATGACTACAGTATTTGTGACTTGAATGAGACCTGTTACTTTCTTTGCATTCTCCTATCGTTTCTGGAAAGAGCAAGGGAGCTCCTTCAGATAGATGAGATAATCACGAATACCGACATGTACAGAATATGTCTTATTCGCTTTCTTGGGCGTAAAACGAGCCTGTAGTAATACAAGGACGAAATGAACGATTGGATTAGTGGAAGATTTTCAACTCGAAGCAGTTCAACTTTATCAGACGAAGTCAACGCTTTGGAAAGATCGTAGTAATGGTGGTTTTTCGATTGAGCAGATCAGGAGTTTAGACGGAAAGATCGCATAGAATATGAGAAGAGCCGCGTAACATTATAGTCAGGAAAGGTATTGCAATGGTGAGGAAGGGCAGAGCCAAAAACACTGTTCACCAAATGCTTTTCTCTTCTTCTTCCTTCACCAGTCCTGTGACGCACGAAACATATGACGAGCAAACGAAGGAGATGAATATACATCTTCACTCTCCATACAATTGTGCACGTAGAACGTGTCTCGCGTACACACAATAGAGGACCAGAATAAAAGAAATTGTTAAATATCTGCAAGTATGATCCATACGCTTGTACAAGTATAGAATATTCAAAATGTGTTTGCGAGTTGTCATAAGCATGCTAATTTCACATACAATAACATAAAAAATGTGCGATTCACGGATTTTGCTTTCTCACGGGTAATCCGGGTGAATTCGGTTTTAAACAAAACGTGCGGGTCTCAAGTAGATAGAGAGCTTCAACGAGGTGCAATGAAAGATCCTAAAAAATTATTGATAGATGTCATTTGTCAAAATATGGGATAAGAAATAGAAATATATTGATTAACTCACAATAGTCAGCTTATCATCTACAAACTCACTTGTTTTTGTATTTCTTCCATTCGCCATCGCTTGTCATATTTCATTTCGATTATTTGTTTGCTACAAAACCAAAAAATAATAATTAATTCGATTCTTAGAATTCACATTTGAGATTTAATTTTTTTCATAAACGATGATCGAGTTTCATGACTTATCATATAATGAATCCTCTGATACTATTTGGCCATCAAATGCCAGTCATTCACCTTCAACTGCTTGTCTAGTTCGCCAGGTCAATTCTAATCAGGCTTCTATCATATATAATTCTTAAAATATCAAGATATTTTAAGGAACAATATACGATGATGGGAAATGAAATAATCAACCTTACGATACCTTCTCCATGTTGAAATCGATTTGATTTCGTTCCAATGAAATGAATCACAGAAAACAAATCATGTTAATGAAAACAAATTTCACGGGTTCACGGAAGAGGGACGAGGCATATAGCAGACTGAGAAAATGAGTGGGAAGGGCAAGGCTAGAAGTATTCATCAAAAAGTCTTGTGAAGATCGGTGAGACGATTTTGCGGAATCTTCGGGGTGAATCCTGTGAGGCATGACAATCCGATGCCTCATGTATTTCTAAATTCAATACATTCCTGGAGTCCTGGAGTGTGCAGTTTTCCTTTCACTCAACTGGTACAGCAGTTATAAAGTTAACCCAAACATAGTCGTATGTACTAATATTATTTGTTTTCACTCGAGTCCTATATTATCATGTAACCACCCGGGATTTTTCACCATCGAAGTTCTCTTTTGAACGGAAACTCTATAACATTAAGGTGCATATTAATCCACATATGTTTGTTGGTGTCTCAAGATGGGTGACGGGAACCTCATCAATATGATTTTCACCAATGGACTGCAGGATATTTGTCAGTTGACGAATTTTCACTGTCCTTTCGCCAATAGACTCGAATAATTTCGCTATCTGAGAGTAGACTTAATGCAGAAAAAAGGTTACTTATTAATTGGATTAGTCAGTGTAAACTAAACTTCTTAGAACTACAGGGCATGACTTTCTATCATGAAACATCATATAATTTGTCCAAAGATCACATTCTATTGTGGATTAGTTTTTCGCTAGAATTCACCTAGAATACTAAAGATTTTTGGAAAATTTTCAAAACCGTTGCCTCTTATTAAGGCTTCTGAAATATTTCTCATGGTTGATCTTTAAATGTGAAGTGGCCTTTAATTCTGACTGCGAGTTTAGGTTATGCTGTTTTAACAGCGTTAAGTTCCGTGACATCTGTCGAAATATTAATACTGATTCGTGGTGGTTAGCGAAAATCCAGGGATGTATTGACCAAGTTCCAGAGTATTCTTAAGACTTGCATTGTAATCTCTAACGGATACTTTTTTGCACATGGTTCATGTAACGATCTAACGTATACACCAGATGCGTAATTTATTTGAATGTTCCTGTTTAGGATGGTCAACTAGCGGCAGTTTGAATACGGCTCGATACCTGCACACAGCATCTGTATTGCCAAACGGAAAAGTCTTAATTGCTGGTGGAGCTAATGGGGCATTCTTGAGTAGTGCAGAAGTGTACGATCCATCAACAGGACTTTGGACCAATACTGGAAGCATGAATAATGCACGAGTCTGGTACACGGAATCCACGTTGCTAAATGGGAAAGTATTAGTTGTTGGTGGACATGGCATGAGAAGTGCAGAACTGTACGATTCATCAACAGGACTTTGGACATATACTGGAAGCATGAATATTTCACGATCCGGACATACAGCATCCAAATTGCCAAATGGGAAAGTTTTAGTTGCTGGTGGATATATGATAAGTAGTGCAGAACTGTACGATCCATCAACAGGACTTTGGACAAATACTGGAAGCATGAATACTGCACGATACGGACATACAGCATCCATATTGCCAAATGGAAAAGTTTTAGTTGCTGGTGGATATACGGATACAGCTTATTGGAGTAGTGCAGAAGTGTACGATCCATCAACAGAACTTTGGACAACTACTGGCAACTTCAGCATTGCACGCGAGGGACACACTGCAACCATATTGTCAAATGGAAAAGTCTTACTTGCTGGTGGAAACGATAAGGATGGTCGTAGTTTGAGTAGCGCACAAGTGTACGATCCATTAAGAGGAATCTGGGAAAATGCACGCAACATGAGTATTACACGGTCATATCACACCGCATCCACATTGCCAAATGGAGCAGTTTTAATTGTTGGTAGAGCGTACAATGCAGAAATCTATGATCCATCAACTGGACTCTGGAAATATACCAGTAGTATGAGTACTCTACGATATAGTCACACAGCATCCACATTGGCAAATGGAGCAATCTTAGTTGTTGGTGGAAACTATGGCGGTTATGCTAAAAGTAGTGCAGAGTTATATGGATGACCATTAGTCGAATGAAATATTCTGCATTAGTCTGAAACTTAACATTTATTTTGCTTTCTCAAACTATTTACTCTTCAAGGCTTTGATATATGTATTTTCGATTACAATATATGTATGCAAAATTCGACATACTCTGCGTAAAGTCAAATTGATTTGTGTTAGTGTGATTATGGTAAAAATTAGGGATCTGCGGGAACAACTCTTTTTAGTTCTCCCTCCCGTGCTCCCGTTCTCGGAGTGTTCACCAGAATTCCCATTCTCGCATTCTCATTCCTGAGGTCTCACGGGAATTTGCGTTCCCGATTCCCGCGGGAAATGAGACTGGAAAACACGGGAAAAAGTCGTTCCCGAAGGACCCTAGTAAAAACAGAAATTATTAAGAAAGAATACTGTAGTGTATAAAAGACCATGGAAAGATGAGGGAAATTGCTACTGAGAAAAGAGAAGCGATATTGTAAACTAGATTTCGATGATACTCGCATAAACTTGTACTAACTCGTCTAGAAAATTTTGCATGCTGTATCATATCAGTACTGGAAAGCTTTTGCGATATACCGTTCCGCGGAAATACCATTGTATCATCAGAATTTTTCTTCGTGTTTCAAAGTTACAATCAATCTACTATTACATATATATACGTAGCCAAAGCTGTCCATAGGAGTCTACAATGAGGATCAAAATATAAAAACGATGTCGTTGTTGATAAAAATTATTTTCTTTTTTCACCGCAAAATGCATGAAAAATCACTTTTGAACATTGCTTTGCTTTGGAATTGGATTATTTGTATAAGTCTTGGAAAATGAGGGCTTTTAATTTTAGGAACCTGTCGTACGGTGAAATTCTTTTGACACTCCTATAGCATTTTCTCTCTAAATAACATTTTGCTTCAAATGTTGGTCGAGAAAGCAAATAATGAACTTTCAAATGTTACCCAAAAAAAAACACTTTTTGAAGATAAACAGGGAGAAAAATGTTGATGACCGGAATATCGATGAAAGGAAATTACTAGAAGAATAGTCCACATGCTTTTTGGAATAATACTACTGTTCAAAATGTATGAGTATGAACTAGAACACTTCTTTCAAGACAACCATTAACAAATTTCTGATTTCAATTCGAATTAGGTTCAGCTGAGAAAATAATAACTCCCTAACTTTCATAACTCGTGTTGCTAACGAAGATCTGCTGTATTTTCTTACATGTGTAAATTGGATAAGATGATATCATGATCATAGAGGGATAAACCATAAGCAAGGAACTTCTAAAAGGTGCTACATGGAAATTTCGTGGAAAGATTATTACTATTGTTGATAGTTATATTTCTATATAAAAAAGACGCTATTGTTATAAAGGTGTTTGTGTAAATAAATATCGATATACTTACACTGTTGATGATCTGAATCATCGTACTATTTAATTTACTCGAGACACAATTATTCTTCGAAGAATGGTTAGTAAGCATGTGCATGGATATGATCATTAATATCTGCGTGAATCGTGAAACATGATTTACGACTAGAATTCAAAGAATTTTATTATTTCTCCTTAGCATAATTGACGACTGCTACAGTGGATTCAAAAACATAGCACATGAGCTGAGACCATCATTGAGGGCAGCGGATATTTTGGATTATCTATGGATGATGAAGGTTTTCTCTACGTTGCTGAATTTAAACAATGTCGATCAGGTGACAGTGATGGAATAATCGTAGAAGATGCCAATGGGCAAGGTTACCAAATTAACCAACTCAATCATCTCACATACAGTTTTACTGGATCAGACAAATCTGTGTGCATCGTAGGAAATAATATTATTCGCGAAAGATACTGCTATAATTTCCAATAGAAGACATAATTAATTTTATATAAAACGAAAGGTCGTCGAAAATGGAATTTAAAGGTACTAAATAGTGAAATTTACAACCACCTGTAATGTCGAACTTAAGAAATTTTCAGAAATTGTATGCCTTCTTTTGGGTGGAATACTAAGGTGCTGGCAAGTTAAAAACGAAGTGAAATGTTTTTCACGTAGGATATCTTAGGTCAGGATTCGAGTTTTTCCCGAAAGAATTCGCTCCACTCAGCACTCCAACTTCGAGACCCATCGCTTCAAGTAGATCTTGATGAGCTCTATCAGATGCACACCTTACTTTTGCGTACAAAAACTTCGACTAGCCTAGAAACCTGAAAAACTGCAAAAAATTGCAGCAAAAATTAACAAATTTTCATAAAACTCGTCATGATTCGCCCAGATCAGCACTCCAATGTGGAAATTTAGCTCTCCAAGTAGATTTCGACATGCCCTATTCAACAGATACATCATTGACTGAATTCAGCAATACGGTACCTGACAAAATTGCTAATTATTGCTAAAACTAGTGGTTTTT